CAGACAGAGCTTTTCTGTAGTTTTTGGAGCCTGTCCTGGAACCAGCTCTTGTAGACAAGGCTGGCCTCGAACTCATAGAGATCCGACTGCCTCTGCCTTCTGAGTGCTATGATTAAAGGTGTGCGCCACCACCGCCTGGTGATATCGAAGTCTTTAAGTAAACTGGTGTGTAATGGATGGTGCACTCCTTCGGGGGATGCGATGAGGTCTAAGGAGAAACACACAGACTATTAAGTGGGTGCCCAGCAAATGTGTGGTCCTTCTCGACCTCTCATTTTACAGATAAAGATATGTACAGTTCTGTCTAGAACGGAGGAGGGGGGAAGCTCCTCATTCAGTCATTCATGGGCCTCAGCGATGCACCCACCAAATCCATAAGGCTCACAAATCGAGCGTCCCCTGTCTGTCTAGATTGTACCTGAGGGGCTGCTGAGATGGCTCGTGGTTAAGATCACTGGTTATTCTTCCAGAGGACGCACACAGGGTGGCTCAGAACCATTAGTAACTCTCGTCCCAGCGTTAATATCCCCATCTGACCTCCTCGTGCGTGCACCAGGCACACACGATACAGACATACATGGGAGTGACACTCACACACACACACACACACACACACACACACACACACAAGCTAACAATAGAAAACTAAAGAAAAAGGTTTTGTGTGCTGCAGGCAATACGTTGGCCAGCTATTTGGTTACCTTTTCCTATATAAAAAAAATTGCCTTTTGCTGAAGTCTCGCAAACTCATGCAGCTGCTCACACTGATCTACAGACCTTGTCAGTTTCCTAGGGCCTCAGTTTTCAACAGCTAAAAACATTTTGACTATAAATCATGGTAATTTAGAACCATGTGATTTAGTTATTTGTTTGTTTATTTATTTTTGGAGACAGGGTCTATTGCGCAGCCCTGGCTGACCAAGAACTCTTGTGTAGACGAAACTGGACTCAAACTCACTGCAATCCACCTGTCTCTGTCACCCTAGTGCTGGGATAAAAGGCATGCGCCACCACAACTGGCTGAACCGCATAATTTTAAGATTGTTTTTCGGATTGCTTTTTAATAAACAGCCCTTGGTTCGCTCGGAACTTGCTACGTAGACCAGGATGATCTTGAGATTGAGGCGATCAGGTGATATTCTGTTGCTGTCTCTCCAACACCCGCAAGGTATTATTACTTAAGCCTTAAAATACAATTTAAAATATAGCTTTACTTAAGCGAATACTGGCACCAACCGGTTGACTATAACCATTCATTGTAATTAATAGTCATTAGATGAAATATCTGCCCAGAATTTAGGCGTGTCCGGAGGCACTGAGTTGATACCGTTTTGAAATCCTCCTCAGAGCTTTGGGAACCGGTGGAAGACTACCTGGTTCAGCAAACAAGAAGCGAGAAGAGGAGGGGCCTGGAGGCCGGCTCCCCCATCCCAGCGCGAGAATACGCCTCGGCGCATGCGCACCTCCGGCCGGGTCCCTTCCATCTGCCAGATGGGGGTGCCGGCAGAAAACCACCTATAGGTTTTGAATTTCTGCCTTCAAGAAAGAGCCTAGGTTGGGAGGGGTCCCGTGAACCGTACTACCAGGTCGTCCTTCAGACTCGGCACAGGGACCTTTGGCACAGACGCCCCAGACGAGGGGGAGAACCCCTCGTCCCTCCCCCCTCCCTCTGGGACAGTGGTGGTCTGCTCCGGGCCACAGACTTTCGCTCGTTTGCAGCGGGTCGGAGATCGAAGGATCGAGCCAATTGCGGAGCAAACGTCTTGGCCGGGAAGGGCGTGAGGGAGCAGCCCTTTGAGTTCCGCCTCCTCCCTAGGCGCTGGCGGGGCAGGGGGACGTGGGGAAGCCTGCCCTCTGAGCCCCCGACGCCTCCGGGCCAAGTGCCGAGAGGACGGCGGGAAGAGCGCCCGTCGGGAGCCGGGGACGGGA